TTATACTGAATAAATTAAATTATATAATTTTTAATTAAAATAAATTAGTTTAAATTCAATAGATGATATCATATCATGCTATATTTTGTGAAATTCATTTCAGATTTATTATATCATGAAATAAATTAATTTACATACTTTTTAAGCTACTTAAAATTTTCTTTTATACTTTTTTAAAAAAAATTTAACTAATGTATTTTTTGATTGAAATAAATTAGTTTAAATTTATGGGTTAATTTTATTCTAACAAAAATATTATCAATTCAAATAATATAATGATAAAAATTAAGTGTTGTTCTACAGAGAATGTAAACTAATTAATTATCAAAATTAACTAATTCTAATTTTATTTAAAAAATTGTAATTAAATAATTTAAATAAACTATATAACTAAATTAATTAATATAAAATTTAGATTAATATACTTTTAAAATATTTATTACTTATGTAACAGTTAAATTTGCTATTTTTTTTAATATACTTTCTCGAGTTATATCAAAAATACCTTCACCAATTAACCTATCGTATCTCTATATAAATTTAAATAGATAAAAATGCATTATATTCTAAATTAAATACTTTTTTTGGTCCCTCTATTATTTAAACAAAGCCCATTTTTTGTTTCTGTACTGAAAAAAATCTCATTTTTGGTCCTTAAAGTTTAAAACCTAACCCCTTTTTGATATTTCCGTTAATTTTTGCTCACATGACATGTTATCTTAATAGGAACATCTGACATGGATATTTCACCATGTAAAAATGCTTACATGGACTTAATAACACCCTTCCATGTCACTCTCCCCGCGTGAAAAAAACCCTAAATTCTCCATTTTTTTTTAATTCCCTCTCTAGAAATCGTCTTCCTTCTTTCAAAATTCTTTATTCATAATCAACCCTTTACGTATGAGATTGGTCAAGATATAATTAAGAATCCATAGGAATATTTTCATTGATAAACCCTAACTTCCCCTCTGTAAAACATATCCTTCTCTTTACTCCTTTCCTAATTCCATATTCTCAACCCTTTTTTCCTCTTGAATCTAAGTCATGAATGAACCAAGTTATGAAGTTCATAGCAACATGAACACAGTAACATAAATCTATCACCTCCAGTTTCAAGCCCAAATATCAAACATGATTTGAGTTTCATAATCAACCCAAAACTTGAGTTCCGTGACGAACCCAAGATGCTGAAGAGGATGGTGAAGAGGATGGCAAAGGGGATGGTGAAGATAAACGGTGTCATAATGATGCCAAGGATGAGGGTGAAGACGAGGATAAGGATGAGGAGAAAGAAAAAAAATGAAGAAGTTAAAGTTAATTATGTTTTTTTTTTAACTTAGGGAATTTTTGGGGATAAGGGGTAGTGCCTATATATTGAACCCATGATTTCACGTCTTAACACTTTCCATCAAAAGAGTAACCACTAGGCCACTTAGTGCTAGACAAAGTTAACTATGTTTAAATTCATTTAATTCATAAATTAAGAAATAAAATTTTTAATTTGTACACATGATCTAAAATATTTAAATGAAATTCTTACATAGATTTATAATTTTATCTATGTAATTTTCACATCATTTATAATATCATTTATATAAAAAAATAATTAAATAATTCCGTTAATTAATGTGACAGGTCAGAAAAAATTTAACAGAGGGATCAAAAAGTGATCCGATTTTAAACTTTAAGAATAAAAAAAGGGGATTTTTTTAATACAAAGACCAAAAAGAGGCTTCTTTCAATAGTAAAGGGATCAAAAAATGTATTTAACTCTGGAAAATATAAACAGCAATTTCCATTGACCAAAAATAGTTTTTTGTTGACGTTTATTTTAAAGACCTACTAAACACTAAAAAATGTGGAAAATAATTTCAAGAAGTTTTCCAAAAAATAAATGAACCCTTAATAAAACAATTTTTATGTCATTTGCAGAAGTTACTTTTGTTTTTCCCTTTAGCACCAGCACTAAACTAAGAAAATGATGTTCTCCACTCCTACCATTCCTTCTATCGCTCAATCTATCATGTATGTGATAAAGGAGACCTGTGCACTCTTTGATACTTAAAAGAAAAGCAACAAGGAAAAGGAAACTGCTTATGGAGGCATAATAAGCACATGAAATGAATCGAACTGCCCAGGCAATAGGATAGTAAGAAGCTTCCTAACATGTATTACAGAAGAACTGTTAACCTACCATTCAACAGAGCAGGAAAATTATACACTACTAGTAGATTGCTAATTCAATTTTTAAAATAAAGTCAAAATGTATATTGAAACTTGAGAAGAATAAGAGCATCAGAGTTTCTGAAATAAAATGCCTGAAGAATTCAAGGTTTTCATCTTATTTCAAGAGCATGCAGCTTGTTCTTCATTCCTTAAAAACAAGATCGTGAAATTAAACATACATAACACGGAGATGATGCCATAAAACAGAAACAAACAATAATTTATTGCACACAAAGAGGGAATAGAAACAGTTGTCCTGAAGACAGGGGTAGTTGAGAAGGAAGCCTGGAATTTCACCTCACGAGAAGCAAAGTCCTAGAAGTTTCTGAAGATGCCTCTTGAACCTGAAAGAATAACAAATAAAGGTGTTTACCACTGTTATTTTGCAATGGAGTAATGCAATTGAACAATATGACCTAAAGTTACAAACAAACCTAAGGGTAAGACATACCTTCCTCTCCATGCTCCAAGGAAAGGAGGGATGGCTTCTAAAACTTCAACTTTCTTTGCAGTTGGCAGCATTCACTGTAACCAGACAGACATGGTCCTTCAAGTTGATGAGGTAGACCTTTAGGTAATTGAACAGTAGGAAACAAACATGTTTCCAGGGATGATCTAACTTGAAAACCAGAACTCACAAAAAGCCAAAAGCCATTCCAAGTTCCATACTAGATTTAAACCCTTTCCAGAATTCATCTTCGTCTTGTTGATTGTATTTGACACATCCATCTGTAGGTTTTTCATCATTGGGGCATGTTTGTGGCAAAGGAAGTAAGTCCATAGAGTGCAAGATTACCAACAAATGCAGAAGCTGGAAGGCTCTGCAAATGGGTGCTGGATGGAATTCTCCCTGAAAAGTTGTTATATGACAGGTACAAGGTACTGAGGAAATGTAACTGGGACATGAATGAAGGAAGCCAGCCTAGAAGCCTGTTGTGTGAAAGATCAAGCGACTCCAACTGTCCCATCTGCCCAATATCTAGTGAAATCCTTCCTGTCAAATTGTTTTTTAACAAATTCAGTTGAAACCAATTCAAAGAGGCTCCATATTTGCATCAGAATTTCCCCCATTAATTTGTTGCCTGAGAGATCAATAATCCTCAAATTTTTGAGATATTCATAATGATACTCTATTCCTTTCCACATGACTAATGCTTTGTCAACGTAGAATCCTGCCATAGCAGAATTCACAAAATAATGATATTCTTCCACAAAAGTGTCTTTTCTGGCCAAGGCAGTTAGAATACCTATGCACCAGGGTATGTGTTGAGAGAGACTGTTATTAGAGAGGTCTTGCAGCAGAATACTAGTCAACTGGCATATCTGCAAGGGGATCTCTCCATAAAAATTATTGGATTTTAGGTTAAGGAATTTAATGAACTTAACCTTTCTCCAATCCAGTCTGGTAATATTGCAGAGAACTTATTATAACACATGTCCACGAATCGCAAGTGACTGCGATGTCCTAGAGATCAAGGTATTTTCACAAAAAAGCTGTTGTTTTGTAAATCAATTTTTTCAATCAAAGACAAGGAACCAACTGAGCTTGGAATTATTCCAAAGAAATGATTGTTAACCAAATTCAAAACAGTTAGATTTCACCAATGCATCGAACCATCAGAAAGCTCTCCAGATAGCTGATTGTAAGAAAGATCAAGAAAGGTAAGTCCGATACCACCAGTTGTGGTACAAAGAGAAGAAATTGACCCAGAAAACCTATATTTTTTGAGAGGATTATGGATGTGGTATTAGCAGGAAATGTTGGTAATGGACCCTCAAAATTATTGCAACTCAAGTCTATCCCAAGAAAACCAGAATACCTCGTTGGACCCTCAAAGGATTTTGGAATCCCTCCTTCAAATTGATTTTCCTTGAGATATAGATATTCCAAAGAAGTCAGGTGACCGAAAGTTTCTGGAATTGGACCTTGAAACACATTTCTACTTAACATGAGTAGGACTAAGCTATTGCTTAAGTTGAAATTGGACAGCCACTGGAATGTGAAAGCAGTCAAGTTATTACTGTTTAGGTCAAGGACAGCAAGGGCTGTCAAATTATTAACCCTGGCGAAGGACTGAGGAACAACATCTAGAAGATTACAAAAATCTAGCTACCTGCAGCCAATTATTAACCTTACTAAGGTCAATTGTACTCAAATCAGGGTACTTCAAAGAAGAAAGATGGGAAAGCCACTCAAGATTTTTGATACTGTCGAAGTAATTATGTCTAAGATCAAGGAGTTGCAAACTTGTGAGGTTCCCTAACTGACTGAGAAGATGTCCCCCTAAACCAGAACCACAAGAAGAGTGATCAAGACATTTTTTAGTTGGGTAGAGTGAATTGTGATAAGAGAATATAATGTAAAGCCAATTCAACTAAGTTACAAATAACTTAAAACTCTGCAACTCAAACAGGAAAGCACATAGCTTACCTCTTAAAGAGCAATCCTGAAGAATAAGCTCAATTACACGCCCAGTTGCTTTGCTACACTGAAACTCCTCTCCATTTGCAGCAGTCCCTTTTCTGTTCTTCACTTCCCCAGGAGGAAAGCACACCATAGTTATCAACCAAACCTTGCTTAAATGCAAGAAGTACTTGTCTTTCCCTCTCTATGCACCAAACTTCATGATCCCCAGCTGTGGAATTGAGTCCAACAGCACTTCTAATCTGCAGTAAAATCACAATTAAAAAGACAAGCAGAGAGGTCCCTCTACCCAAAACCATCATTTTTTGAGTGAAAATAACAAAATCAAGATCAAGCAGAATAAATATGAGGACTGTCAAAGAAAAATTGTGGAAGCTTAACCATTTGGTTCTGCTGTCTGAGTTTTGAACCCTTCTACTTATATGAACAGCGACAACAGAATGCAATGAACAGATGCCAAAAGGGAACATAAAAAATTAGAAGTGAACCATATATTAGACCAGAACTGGTCATCAATTAGACCTTGTTTAAAGTTGAGGAGTGCTTTGTCTTTCACTCTCTATAACAGTCTTTTTCTACTTAATTTATCATCTTTTCCATTTGCTAGCATCACTCTTATGTCATTTTGATCGTGTAGCGAATGGAGCAGTGCAAGCATTGTAAGGAACGTTGAGGGAAGTGGAGAAATAAGAGAATATAATGTAAAGACATCAACTAAGTGAGGGAATTCATATAACTGTGCAGAGTTCATTTCAGTACAGCTAGTTTAAAATCAGTTTTTCCCTAAAGCATCCTGATTATTTAGGAAGAAAGAGTGCGTTTAAAGTTAAGGAGGTATTTTTAGTAATCTAAATGTTTGGTTCCAAATTCCATCAAAACATACATACAGTGAGACTAAACATGTTACGCAATTGTTAAGGATAAAAATCTCATCAAGAGGAAGTGTAATTGTTTGGAGTTTTTATTGAAGAAAATAACACTAGTGAGACTAAATGTTGTCCAAAACAATGTCATGTTTGAAGAATAATTTATATGATCTTTTCTTGACATTGATCCTGTGATACATAGAAAGGACCCACTATACCCAAAACCATTATTTTTGAAAGTGATATGAACAAAATCAATATCAAACTGAACCAAAGTGAAAATTGTGTCGAGGAAATTTAATATTTTGTGAAACAAAATGGAGAAGA